TGACAGGTTCCCAGAGAGCCCAATACCCCTTTAAGTAAGGAATATACCTTAAATCATATTATTAAGCAAGGGCCCTATAATTTAAGGTATACCCCTTTAAGTAAGGAATATACCGTAAATCATAATATCAAGGCCCCTATAATTTAAAGGTATATTCCTTTAATTTTAAGGAATATACCTTAAATCTGATTAGGGTTCCTACTATGATTTAAGGCAATATTCCCTAATTAAAGGGGTATCGGGCTCTCTGGGTTTCCATCAAAGGGCAACTAAAAGGTTCACAGAGTGCTAGCTTTGGGGTGTTTTGGGTAGTAGGGCTGAGAGGGTTCAGGATTCACAGCTTGGGGAGTTTAAGGTTTGGGGTTCTGGGTATAGGGCCGACAGTATAGCGAGTTTGAAGTCTAAGGTATGGGGTTTAGGATGCATGTTGCTTGAACTTAGTATAACTCTTTTCCTATTTACGGAGATTGCGCTTGCATTCGTCGCTCCTGTCCCTTTTTGTTTAAGGGCTTTGTGGCTTCGGCTATCCATGGGTTTGTGGGCTTTCGGGCCCATGGGCTTGGGACTTAGCATGGTTGCTGAGCTTTCTCCGCCAAAAAGATTATCGCGGACGTCAGCCTCATCGTCATCGCTATCTTTGTGAACCTATCATGTGCGTTATCCCATGCATCACTCTAGTTATCATCCCCTCAGGGCCCATGTGCTCATAGACTCAGCATATACATTGGCCCCAAAGTACCTATATAATCGGGACTACGTCAAGGCCAAAGGGTGTTATACTATTTGGGTACATGGACCCCTCAGGGATCGCCACTACAGGTCTAGTCCTCGCCATTTCTTTACATCGCAACCATGCTAAACCCTAAAACCCTAAAACCCTAAAGCCCTAAATTACTAAACCCTAAACCCTAAAGCCTAGACCCTATAAGCCCTAAACACCTAAACCCCTAAACCCCCTAAACCCTGAACCCTAGACCCCTAAACCTGAACCCTAAACCCTATGGTCGAGGCCTCTTCAGCTTCTGCGCCTGGCTCGCCTTCGGCACCTGGCGTTCTTCATGGCCCGTGAGTGAGGGGTAGGAATTGTAGGGGTTTGAAGGGTTATAAGGTTCAGAGTTTAGGGTTTGGGTTTAGGGTTTATAAGGTTTAGGGCCTTAAACCCTGAACCCTAAACCCAAGTTGAGGGTGGAGGATTACGGCTTTGGCTCCCCACATTTATCCTCGCTGTGATCTCTTCGTGGCTTTCTTGCGGATTCAGAAGATTCTGGAGTTTATGGCCTGGGGTCTCGACCTTCGTCAAAGATCATGTGTGTCGAGCCATTCTTGGTATTAAGGGTCGCTTCGGCGCAGGCGGATGATGGCCACCTCAAGCACATACGCTCAAGCCTCAACAGCTTACCTATAAGCTCGGAGTACTTGCCTATAATTTCCTACATCTTCTTACAACTCAACCCTGAATTTCTGAATCTTGTGCGGCTTACCTACGGTTTCAGGGCTTAGGGGCTCTTTTTGCTTTAGCGTTTAGGGTTCTAATGCTTAGGGGTTGGACCTTGTATTCTACAGACTTACTTCGGGTTAGGGGCGAAGCATGTCTAGCATCCTTATGGCTACAAGCATGTGGCTGCTTGCTGATACCACTACGAATCCAACCATTTGACCTTCACGCTATTATTGTAGAGTCGTATAACAACAACAACTCTTCTGGGCTAAACTACGACATGTATGCGTCAACGCAAAACCACGCGAGCCTGGCCTTCGCACGGCCGTCTGTATCCTGGCAGGAAGGTTGGCTGCAAAGCTTGGGTCCCAGAAACGCCCCATGGGCTAAACCCGTTTAAAGCCTCAAGCGAAACCCTAAACCCTTGGCTTGAACCGTCAAGCTCGGTCTTTGCGGCAAGAGATACATGCGATGTCAGCGGTCTGCCTGCCCAAAAGTGAGATGCCTCATTTCCGGATGCGAACGATCATCTCAGGGTATGCTTGCGCGCCGTTGAAGATCACGAGCTCCCGGTGGACCTGTGTTGCACCGTTGCTGGACGGCGTGCCTGGGGCGGCGATCACAGAATGACAGCGACCTTTCGATGTGTCCTTCGGATCTCGCAAAGGCTCGACCTTAACTTGAGGTAGGGGGCCTCTTGCATAGTGGGGCTCGCCAAGTATCAGGCGTGTGATGATGAAGCAGCCTTCGGCTTGCCTGCCTGCGCCGGAGTACTGGAATGCCTTACACGTCTGGTCCGTGAAGTACACTCCTTGGCCGTAGAGCCCTCTTTCCCGTGCCAAGCGCTCGTCAAAACCGAAGTTCACGATGAGGTCGACTTTGTCCGGCGTGGTGCCATGAAGCACCCAGATCTCATTCACCGTGGAGTCCAGCTTGGCCCAGCTGCAGCCCGAGAAGCTGCTGGTGACTTTTGGAACACGGGAGCCTTCCAGTTCCTTCTTCACTTGCTCCTTGCGGAACTCGTAGCTCTTCCAAAGTCGGATGTTGTGGACTTGCTCAAGCCCCGTGATGTTGAGACTGCGAGCATAGCTGCAATCACCGCGATGGTCCGCAGGGCAGGCCGAGATGAGAGCTTTCTGCAGAGTAGCATACACTCCGTCCTCAAGTGGAACCTCTGCACGCACATTCATGTCCAACTGGCGACTCATGCGCCAAGGCTCCAGCATAACCATACGTTCTTCATGCTGCACCTGACAGGACTCCAAGTCATAAATTTGCTGCTTCAAATCTGCCACCGTCGCCTGGCAAGATTTCCAAGAATCAACCTGTTGCTCCAATTCTACCACTCTGGCTGCCAACTCAGACTTCTCAGCCATGTGAGCTTGAATCTCCCGTTGCAGACTCCTCTGAAGATTTTGGAACAACTCTGGGATGACCGGTGGCTGCAGCCGTTGTGTTCTTCTGATCTCTCGTGATCGCCCGGTGTCCAGGTTACGCTGACGCATATCGTGACAATCGATGCCATAGGTGTAGCCGTTCGTCGAAACACAGAAGATGCCATCGTCATCGTCTTCAGCAGCATCCCAGCCTTTCACCCAGCGACTCTCCAGCTCGTTCTGCATCTCGCGGCTGACAGGCTGCCAGTCTGTCGACAGAAACTCCCAAACCACCTCGACAGACAAGTCGGCATCGGGCTCTGTCGAAATATTCAACTTGTCGTCGACATCGCCGTCATGTGGCACCTTCCAACCAAGAAGGGGCAACGACAAGGCCTGGGGTTGTGATTCGTTGAAAGCCCATACCGTCTGGTCATCCAAGGAAGCTCCAAAGCGCCAACCTTCTTGGCAAACTGCCCCAGGTTTGCCCCAATAATAAATCAACACTGTCGAGTCTGAAGCTTGCTGCTGCAGCTTCCGGTAGACGGGCTTTCCGTGATTCCATGCCGATAAGATGTATGCCCCTCGGATAGTGCAGCTGACGGCAGCACTGCAGAAGCCGGATACGTACACGATAGGCTCAACCTGTTCAACCACGTCATAGGCAGACAGCGGCTTGTCAACAGGATTGTGGCTCGGCCGACCCACGGGATGTCGGTCCTTCTTCGGCTCAAGGTTCATGAGGATGTTCAGCTTGTTGTCGTCGACGACACCGGCACTGGAGAAAACCACCCAGCCAGAAGCAGGAGGTAAGTTGCTCCCATTTGTTGCCTCGTTGTACGCGTAGACGGCGTCAGCTCCTAATTCGGGACTGAACCACCAGCCTTCGTCCCAGGCATTATCCCTTCCGTCCCAGTAGTAGATGAGTACCGTAATGCTGGGAGCGTCCTGGCAAACCTTTCGGTAGACCGGCTTCCCGTGGTGCCACTCACTTGTGGTGTAAGTTCCCTGAATAATTTTGCTAACTGAAGCATCTGTGGCACCAGACACGTGAAGGACAAGCAAGTACGGGGGTGTTGCTATGTCTGCTGGCTGGTGCCCTCGCAAGGAAGCAGCATGTCGAACTCGCAAATGCTCCTCCAAGTTGCCACTGTTGAAAATGTTTTGGCACAACTTGCACTTAAAGGGATTGCTTCTGCGTCCGGGATCATAGTTGAACTCCACTCCCAGTCGGTTTGCCAAAGCTTCACAAGAGGTGCTGAGTTCGTATTTGCCACCGGGCCGTACAAAATAGCCCCAGCTATTCCAACAACCAGTGCAGTATGTCTGCTGTCGCTTCAAGACGGCGCTACATCTGCAACACCGGGAGGAGGAGGTCATGCCAGCTGCGGCGGCATAAGGGTGTTGCTGTATGTTGTTGTCACAAGCCGGTCCTATGAGTTGGGTCACCGTGTGTCTTTGGCCTGACATTCAAACGCTGTTGAAACTCACTTGTACACGAGCTTGCCGGATTGAGGGTGTCAAACTTGTGCCACCACGCGTAAACGACAGGAAGAATGCAAGGGCCTGACAAGTTGGAACTTGGCCCCCGCCACCCCCCCCTTCTCTGGCCTCTCCAATAAAAACCAGGAATCCAAATGATCGAACCGGAAATCTGAAGCACATGTCCAAAAAGTACCAAGACCCTGAAGAAATGAACCTTGCTTGCACTGAGCCCGTGGGTAAGCCAAACCGGCCACTCTCAAATACTTCTAGGATCAAATCTCTAAACATTGAAGGCAGTTCAACGACCTTGGCACCTGTGGAAAATCAATGCTTCTGTTGGGTACTTCTACTCTTGTTCGTAGTTTGCACTTGCAATCACCCCGGACATCAAAACAATCGTCTAGAACAACACCTAAGTCCCAAAAACCTAGACCCCTTAGTTGAGCCTACTTTACGGAAGTTGTATGATCCGCCTCACGGCGTAGCCAAAACCAGCATATAAACTTGAAGGATGATGGGTAGGGTGCAGGGTTCAGGTTTTCTCCTAGCTTGCCCTCCTAATTAGGGTTTAGGGTTTAGGGTTTGGGGTTGAGGGTATCATTGCGGGGGTTACCTGTGAGTATAGCTAACTATACCCTTCTTGGCAACCTGACGTGCAGAGGTCCATGATGCCAAGGTCCTCAAACACAAATCGCAACAGGGAAAACCGCATCTTTCGAGCGCTCCGCCCTGAAACCCCGAAAACCCAAACCGACCGGCTCAAGCCTGAACCCTAAACCCTAAAACCTAAACCCTAAAACCCTAAAGCCTAAAACCCTAAACCCTAAACCCTAAACCCTAAATCCCTAAACCCTGGGCCCTAAACCCTAAACCCTGAGTAGTCTTATAAGTTCTATA